TATTATGAGAAGCATATAAACCAATTGATGGTGATTCAATTGATATATTATCTAGCTATTTGTAGTAGAGACTTAGGTTAGGGGGATAGGCTAGCCCCCATTTTGTAGCCCTATAAAATAAAAAATGTGCTTAGCATGAGATTAATAACCTAGTTAAAAAAAAACAATTTCAAAATTGAATTAATGAAGATAATCAAAGACTCACATTAAGTTCTTTTTTACTACATTTTATTCTTGAACCAGAAATAAATCTACATTAAATTAAATTAATATAAACAGAGGGAAAAACCTAATAGCCCAAGGAAAGGAGAAAGGATTTGTTTACATTAATTTGGGTCCAAGCTGAGGTTCATATTTATTTATAAAAAAAGGGTAAAATACAAAAACCTCTCCTGGAGTTTCTGACAATCATAAAACCTCCCCTATATTTCATCTTAACAAATACCTCCGCTGAACTTTTGAGAAACTCAACAAAAACCTCCCTTCCGTCACAGTCCCAGATGGAAAACGTTAGATTGATGCACCAGTTTTTTCCAAATACCCATTCTACCCTTTTATAAATTATTTTGCATACAAATTACTGAAATAACCCTATTTTAACTCAACAAAAACCTCTTTTAACGATCATTTTAGTAATTTTACATACAAAATTACTGAAATATGTTTTTGGTTGAGTTAAAATGGGATTATTTTAGTAATTTTGTACATAAAATAATTTATAAAAGGGTAGAATGGATATTTGGAAAAAATGGGTGCATCAATCTAACATTTTTCCGTCTGGGACAGCAACGGAAGGGAGATTTTCGTTGAGTTTCTCAAAAGTTCAGGAGGGGTATTTGTTAAAATGAAAATATAGGGGAGGTTTTTATGATTGTCAGAAACTTCAGGGGAGGTTTTTGTATTTTACCCAAAAAAAAGCTAAGGTTCATATTTAGGTTGACCCTTTACCTAACCCAAGCCATCTAACATACATCCATACTTTATTAGAGAGAACCAAAAGGATTAATAGATGTTTAAGAGGAAAATAAGGATTTAATGGGAGCGAGATGTTACAAACATTAAATATTAAGGTTATAGAGAGAGAGATTGAAGAATGATCATATTAGATAATAAATATGAATTTTATGAGAGACAATGAAGACCCGTGAGATTTTTAATGATTTAATTTAAAAATAAATATGCACATGTGTGAGAAAGGAGAGGAGGAGGACGAGGTATGCATGTGCTCTATGGTGAGAGGACCTTCACCTCCCCTCTTTCCTCTTTCTACTATATATATGGTGGACCAAGGATCCTTTGGACTGTATTTTAACCATCATTGGGCTATTTTTGGTTTGATAGCAGAAAGTTGAGAGTACATCCCCTCAAAATTTCATTTCTTATTGTCTATCAAACCAAACACAACTTTAGGGATGGATATCAGAGAGAGAGAGTCCTTGACTTCTTATTGTTGAATTGACTTAGCCTAGGAGCTTTTAGAAAAGCATTTAACTAATCCATGCAAAATTTTTCATATTATAGTTTATTTAGTATATTTAAACTCATATGGGTTCTCTTGTAACACATTGGAAATACAATTTCTCTTACCTATTTTTATCTTTTCAAATTTGAAATATAGCTAAAGAATATGATACATTTTTATACGCGTAATTATAATCATGTATTACAATAAGAACTCAAGTGGATTTAAATAAGTAATTAAACATCAACTCTAAATGGAAAACAAGAGCTAGACAAATACAACCAAATCTTGACGTACCCTACAAATCATAATTGATCATTCAACACAATCCGTTAGGAAAAATTCCTAATTAGTACCCTGTACTTTAGGCCTAGTGTCACTTTGGTCCTAAACTTTAAAATGTGACAATTGAGTACTCGAACTTTTAAAACGTGTCAATTTAGTACCTACCTTTAATCAACCGTTAAGTGACATTTGAAAAGACACAAATGCCCTTCGAGTGTCATATAATTTTCTTTATCAACCATCCAAACATTGATAAAAGATGAACAGTCCAAAATCCTTGCCTCCTCTATTCAAGAAAGTTCGGGTCACTAGAATGTCCACTGAGACGTAGGGCTGTTCACAAATAAATTCAAACTGACCAACCCAGCCCGACCCAACCCGATTTGGCTGGTTTTTCTTCACCACAGGTCGGTTTCGGGTTGTAAAGATGGGTTAACCGATAATTTGGTTTGGTTTCGGTTTTACACATGAAAACCGAAACTGAACTAAGTTATCTATAAATATATTCTTACTGAAATATTATATATAATATGTATATTTCGGTTTTAAATATATTTCCAGAAAATATATTCATATATATATATATATTTAAAGCTGAAATTATTTTGGAAATGTATATATTTAAACCAAAACCGACCTAAACTGACCATGTCAGTTTCGCTTAATAAAGGGTCGGTTTCGGTTTAATATTTAGGTAACTCGACCAGGTCGGGTCGGTTGAAAAAAAACTAGTAAACCGACCCAACCCGACCCATGAACAACCCTAGTGAGATGTGACCCCAACTTTATTGAATAGAAGAGAAAATGATTTGGGACTGATTATTTCTTGTCAACGTTTGGATGGTTAATAAAGAAAATTAAATGACACTCGAAAGGCATTTGTGCCTTTTCAAATATCACTTAATGGTACTAAATTGACACTTTTTGAAAGTTTGAGTACTTAATTGTCGCATTTTAAAGTTCGAGAACCAAAGTGGCACTAGGCCCAAAATACATGGTACTAATCAGGAATTTTCCCATTTATTTACAATGGATAGCATTCCTTAAATCAGGCTTCCAAATGAGACCTTAATTTTTTGTTTATTTGTTTGTTTTGGCTTCATGGGGTTACACAAACCAGGGGGGTCCTCTTCAGCCAGCCAGAGATCTTACCAATTGAGCCAGTTGGAACCTTCAAACGAGGCAGTAATTTTTTTTTTTTTGATTAATTAGTACATAAACATACATGAGCATGATAAACAAGCACTTGGTTTTATAACAATTCATTAGATATCAATTTATTAGTACAACATTTACCTTACAAGGTTTACAGATTTAATTAGTGGGAGCTAGTTTCCTTCATTTTGGTGCAGAATCAATGTATAAATTACTAGTATATCATCTTAATACCTGTCAAGTATGCATCTTATGGTTAATTAATTTGGTAAGTCACAAAAAAAAAAACGAAAACATGTTATTGGTTGTATCCGTCTTGGTTTCTAAAACTGAAACCAAATACGTCGTTTTCTTCAGTTTCTGATTTGAAAAAACATGTTTTCATATGATGATCAGTTGTCATATTTCATAAGATATTTGTACTCATCAAAAATTTGTTTCCCTTCTAAAGACCAACATTTTGATGATTCTAAAAACATGAATGTTTTCTTTTTCGAAACAAAACCAACTTATATAAATAACTTTGCCTTTCAACACAAAATCACAATTGGAAAAACATATTTTAATTGTTTGGCTAGTGTGACGATTTCAGAAACAAATAAAAACAAAAAAACATTCTTATAAAACACAACCTTGTTGAATTTGACATGAAAAGTTGGTTGGGAGCTTTATATCCACAGATTTGTATTGTAGTATTGTACCACCCCCGGACGGGGCCCGCAAGGTTTGGTTTCTTGGATCCCTTGGCAAAACAGTTATAAGCTGCCTTTCAACTCTCATGGTTTGAATGGATGGTATACATGGACTGATGGGCGACTACTTGTTGGTGGGTCCAACCACATTTTTGTTATTCTTTACATTTCCAATTTTTTATCTGTTTGTACAATCAAGATGATAAATGGGGGAATTTATCAATCAAGACGAGTATTTTAAAAAATAAAACTTAAAAAGTAAATAAAAATTTATAACATGAGATAAAGTGAAACTGTTATACAAAAATATCAGCTGTGTGTCATTGATTTGACGATCCAGATTAATGAACACCGTCATCTAGCGGCTCGCGAGACCAAATCAACCCCCTACAATGTTTTACAGCACATCATTCCCGCATCCCCGCCTCTGTATTAGGAATATCTCCCAATCATAATACCAGAAAATGATGATAACATCCTCGCATCCCCGCTGATGTATTAAGAACATTTTACAATCATAATACCAAAAAATGATGATGTCATCAGAAGATGTTTGTAGGCCCTCATTTTACTCATCACAGCACTTTACACCGACTTTGCAACATGCATGCCGAGATGTTCCTAATACATGGTGAATTAGTGAGATGTGATTGTGAGTTTGGTGTGGGGAGTGTTCAACGAGGAGTTGATATCAATTCGCGTTTCATGCCAAAGGCTAATAGCCTAAAACAGTAAAACTGAAAAAAAATTCGAAAAAGCAGGGACAAGCCCAATACAGATTTCTTCTCTAGGGATGGCCTAGATGAATGTATTCGGCTAAACTGTAGCATATGTAGTCTGGAGTCTGGACTTTGAATCATCCGGATCCTAAGGACGCGATCCTCGCTGTTTTGTTCCTACTTGCTAGTGCAGTTTTGAGAATTGAGATCTGGCTTATTAATTGCAGAAGCAAATTCATTCAAAAAATAGTTGGGTAAAAAATTTCTGATTCTGAAGATTAGATGGTTAGCATTAATCTAATTCTAATCTAATTAAGCTGATTACGGTGTACTTCACACTCTCACCACATGACACGTGGCAAATAAGGGATGTAGAGCGCACCTCTTTTTGGAATTTGGAATGGGATGGTGACTAAAATGCGCACGTGGTTTAAAAAGGAAAAATAAAAAGTCGAATCGGTGTTACCGTGTTATGACAAAGAAACACGATTCCCGAAGTGCAGAAATCGTCGAATTGCCATTAGCCAAAAACCGTTTCCAGGTGGGCTTGCTGTGATTCTTTAATCATCACCAATCCGGAGGCAGTAGCTAACTAATAAGTAGCTAAAAATGCCAATCTACCCGTTTACACCCTTTGAAGGGCAGCTCTGTAATCTATAGACGCTACACCAGAACCACCTAAATCGACTCGAGGCGATCGAGCAGAAATGAGAACCGGATGACACGACACGCCAAGTCGCCAACCTGGCTCTCTGATACATTTTATTAAGTTTTGTTTTATCACTCTACTCATTCAATCTTCATTTCCTCGATCCTTACCACACTACCTTCACGACGGATCTCTGTAATCACGATCGTCTTCCGTTACCGACTCACTGTACATCTGAACCTCACTTCTAACATACGCGGCGGCGGTGGTGACCACTGAGCAGGACAGCGGATGAGTTTCAGGGAAGAAAACGATGATGGGAGGGATCTCCGGAAGCCGTTCCTCCACACGGGGAGCTGGTACCGGATGAGTTCCAGGCAGTCGAGTATGTTGGATAAGCTCGGCTCTTCCGCTCAGGTCATTCGTGACAATTCCGTTTCCGTTGTTCTCTGTGTCCTCATCGTTGCCTTGGGTCCTATTCAGTTCGGCTTCACTGTGAGCTCCTCTTCTTCCCACCCCCCCTCTCTCTCTTTCTCAATTATTTGTCTTTAAATTGGAAGTCTCAACCTCTCATTCAATTCATTCTTCCAGGCCGGTTATTCTTCTCCGACGCAAGCCGACATAATCAGCGATCTCGGTCTTTCAATCTCCGAGGTTAAATCTTTTGTTTCTTTTCATATGAAAATTGGAAGCTAATCTTATTTGGTTGGGTTGAATTGATCAAATTAAATCTTTTAATTACTTATTTTCTTGGTTCCAGTTCTCTATATTTGGTTCTTTATCAAATGTGGGCGCTATGGTTGGCGCAATTGCCAGTGGTCAGATTGCAGAATACATTGGGAGAAAAGGGGTACCCTATGGGCTCATTTCTGTTTCTCCCTTCTATCGACATGATACTTTTTGGATAATGTTCTATCGTTATAATTTTTGTGTCTGTGCTTCTGATTATGATCCATAATGTGAAATTGCAGTCGCTAATGATTGCTTCCATCCCTAATATCATTGGATGGCTTGCCATATCTTTCGCCAAAGTGAGAAATTTCTAACAATACATTGCTTTAATTTGCTTAATGCTTTCTGTAATGTCTTTGGCGAGCTTCTCACACTTGCTTTCCTCTCCCCGTGTGTAGGACTCTTCGTTTCTGTACATGGGAAGGCTGTTGGAAGGATTTGGCGTAGGTGTAATCTCTTACACTGTAAGCTTGAAGTTCTTCCTTTTCTTCCTTGTTTATGTTTCAAATTGTATATGAGAGGCTTTATGGCATTTACTGGTCCTTTTGATATTCTGTAGGTTCCTGTGTATATAGCAGAGATATCACCTCAGAACATGAGAGGCCGCCTTGGATCCGTCAATCAGGTTGGTTACCTTGTGCTGGTTTTCAATCGTTGTTCTGGCAGAGTTGTTATAGTTATTATTCTCAAGTTTGCTTGTCCTAAAATCAGCAAAATGACCATGTTTCTTCTTCCCTCTTTCTCTCTCTCTCTCTCTCTCTCTCTCTCCGTCTAGCTCTCTGTCACGTTGGGGATAATGCTCGCGTATCTTCTGGGGCTTTTTGTTCACTGGAGAGTTCTTGCCGTTTTAGGTATGTTTCTTGATGACCAAAGTTGCTGATAGTTTACTAATATAAAGAGACTGTCTTACTATTGTTGGACCTATGAAAATTTCTGATACCGTTACTTGAATCTCTAACTTATGTCATTATGTTGATAATCAATAAACTGGAAAACTTAACTGAACTCGAGTCAGCCTTAATCCCAACTATTAGGGGCCAGCTATGTGAATCCTGTCATGCCACTATTTTCTCTCAGTATGCATGTTTTTTTTCCTGTCAAATTTTAAGTCCTTAGATCATTCTTTTAACCACTTCAGCTCACATTTTTCTCTTGGGCTGACAAGTGTGAAAATGTGCATTTAAGTCTGAGAACTGCCACTTTCTGCAAAAGTGGTGCTGGAGGTTAGCCCTGTTTCCAGTCCACCCCTCCCAAGACACTGGATTTTGAGATTGGCATTGGGTAATAGCCTTGCACCGAATTATTCTTCACAGGTGCAGTCATTATCCGTCTATGCACCTGACTAGACCATCTCAGTTGACTTTCCCTAACCTTGTTACCAAATGGGGCTACTCCTAAGTCCTCTTTCATGCATGTATTTCTAATTCTATAATTTCTAGTATTGAAATCGTGTATCTTAGCATTTTTCATCTCAGCACCGGTAAACTTTCTAGTCTTAATTTCTTCTCAAAACACCCATTTACTTTTTTTTTTTTGACATGAAATCAAGTTACTTGTTTCTTTTCATTCACAGTTGATTGATGGTTATAGAATTATAGTTCCTTTGTGGTCAAATTTCTTGTAAACTTGCACTGCTAAAGAAGTTGTACACCTAGAATCTCAAATTGAGTTCTGTTCCAATGACTTAAACCACTGAGAATCCTTGATTAAGCTGTCTGATCTAGTATAGAGATTCTTTAATCCTCCCCCTGTCTTCATGAGAGGCTCACACCCTTTACTGATTGATGAGGAGTAAGTTACAATCTTGTGGCAACTCCAGAGTTACCCCAGACCACTGAGATTGGTAGGGTACTCTTTAAAGGGATGGCAGCATCAGCTGGACTTTACATAGGTGATTAGGATGCAACCAAACAAAAGATTATTTTCTCCTTACAGGGTCCTAGGTACCTAAGCACCTTCATCTTACATCCCCTTCTGGTGAAGGGGATTTATCACAAATTAGACAAATCCTTATTTCTTTCAGCACAAATTAAATGGATTCCTGGGGATACCAACGGAACAATGTAGACGGTTTAATTAATTTGGTTGGGGATAGGGTCAGCAAGAGCTGGATTGGGCTGTATAGTTAAACTTATTATATCCTCTAATGTGCACTGATTTCTCCTTATACAAGTTTATTAGCTTCTAAAAAGGAAACTTGTGGTGTTTGAATTATGAGATTCTGAGCATTCTGGTTGGTCATTTGAAGTTTAAAAAAGTTAACCAGATTGCTTAACAACTTGGTTAAATCTTTAAACTGTTTCTTAGTTTTGGTAATCTATGAGTCTTGGTTGAACATTACAAATGCATTTTTGATCAGTGAATATTACAAAAACTTAATTGAAGTCTCCAATACTTGACTTAGAATGTGCCTTTGATTTTTGGCGTCTTTAGGTGAGGCTTTAAGAACCTGCACCTAGTCGTTTTTGGCATCCGAAATACTTTGTTCCCCCTGACTTAATCAATGACTTGATTGAATTGAACAGTGCAACTATTTTAAATACTTAACTCTCTTGTTGTATACCAAGTTAAGTTTCTAAATGGGAGTTACAGTTATATTAAGTTTTAGTATATCAACATCCTGGTTTATTTACCCAAACAGTAATTACTCTTTTTTTTTCTATTTTTAATTCTTGAGTAAGATTTAAGGCATATTTTGTTCATGACCAACAAACTCATCTTTAGATTCTCTTTATCCCAAGTTCTGTTATCTTCCAAATAATTGATTAGAAGCGCCTAATCCAGTTTGAACATTTTTTTGGAAGCCTGAAGTTGTGGGACATCAATTCCTTTTTCCATTGCAGGAATCTTACCTTGTACAATACTGATACCTGGTCTATTTTTCATCCCTGAATCTCCTAGATGGCTAGTGAGTATTATCAACCGTTTAATAATTGTCACCACCATGAGAGTTGTAAATCTTGTTTTATTTTCTGATACTCTTTTCCTCATAATATTTAGGCAAAGATGGGTATGATGGAAGATTTTGAAGCTTCTTTGCAAGTCCTGCGGGGTTTTGATACAGATATTTCTTTTGAAGTGAATGAAATCAAGGTGCTGCTTTAAATTGCTATAGTTTGGTGTGTTTCTCTCATTCTAGCATACATGCAGGTAGTAAGTTATGTAAAAATCATCAGTTAATAGAGAGCTGGTCTATCAGAGTAATCTATCAGCTCGTTGTTCTTATGAAGTATGAACCAGTTCAGTGAAATGACTCAACCTTACACTGCGTGTCATCCCGTGGCCTCAAACCTTTCCAACTACTAGTATGCCAATAGTGATGATTTCCAGCTTGCCAATTTTATGATCTCAGTAAATAATCCTAGTATCAGATTACCACCAATATGACCATAAGAATTCAATGGGAGAGAAAATTAGCTAATGAATTGGCTGATATAGCCAAACAAGGGGTTTCCAGGGGTCAAATGTTTTGGGCTCAATTGTAATATTTGGTCTAATGCTTGTGAGGGGTTGCACCTCGCACCCCTCTGTGGATCTTTGTAATCTTCTTAATTTTTGCCAATTTGTTCTATTTGATGCCACATTCACTGTTTCTCTTTATCTGTCAAAAAAAAAAAAAAATCCTAACATCAGATTCAAAGAAAAACAAGATAAACCACCTTCATTTGACTCTTTACTAATCCTCCTCATTTGCAGCACCTATTATAAGGGATATAGCCTAGGCCCGGCCTGGACCCAAGCCCTGATTCTGGGCCTATGATCGAATCTATATTTGGTTTTCTAGTTTAATTCAAAGAATAGATTTAAAATAGCTGGACAATAACTATTTGCAAAAAGTTGAATAGGCATTTAGATTTTGAATTTTTTTAGTGTACTTTGTACTTACTTAAATGTCTCAAGTGATTAGTTTAAAAGATTATTTGGACTACCCAAGGCTGGAAATTTCTGGGCCGGGATAGAAATGATCATCCCTTGTTGAGTAAGATAAAAAGTACGTCTCATGTATCTAATATTGTATGAGGGGGTCTATGAATTGATGCCACATGAACCCCATGTAGCTAGGAATGGTTTTCTGGAATAGCTGATCCATCTAAAGTCTAAACCTTTAAATAGAGCTTAGTTAAACATTTTTCATAATTATTAGATGTATCAAATCTTACATGTTCAAGGTTTGTCTCCTATTTTGTTAAATCAATTACCAGTGGATTACACATACATGGACTAAGAGTTAAAACATATGGAGAATATAGTTGATATTTTGTGAGTTTTTATGTCCAATCACCATTATTTTTTGGGAATTCTCTTTTTTTTTTTTGCAGAGATCTGTTGCAACAACAACCCGAAGAACTACAATTCGATTTTCAGATCTTAGGCGAAGAAGATACTGGTATCCTTTGATGGTATTGATGCTTAGCTGGTTCTTCTGTTTTTCATTCCTATAATGTTGAACCTTGAAAGTGGGTGGCCATGAAACATAACTTGCTTTGACTTCTGTATGTGTGTGTGTGTAAAAAGTATGTGTACCTGGATGTGCTCTGCTGTACAAAAAGTTAAACATCGAAAAGAGGATAGAAAATGATTTGCTCTGTTTAGACCTAAAAACCCTTAAATACCACCAAAATAGTTGTCTAAAAATACATCAAATTGAAAACTTTGGCTATTATATTGCATTCTCTGAATTTCTCTTGTTCTCAAAAATGTGGTTCTCATGCTCCTCCAAAACAGCCAATGAATCGCAAAGAGAATGAGATTCCATGGAATGCAACCCCTATAGGAGTATTGAAACCATTAACAGGTCAAGCAATAATCATGTTTGGTAGCATACCTGGGGATGGAAATAATACTTTGCTTCATTTTATCGCTATTATGCAGGTGGGAATTGGATTGCTTGTCTTGCAGCAGCTGAGTGGAATTAATGGTGTTCTGTTCTATGCCAGCAACATTTTCAAAGCTGCTGGTAAGCTTAGCATTTCATTAAATTTAAATGGTTGTTATCTCATAGTGAAGCATTTTATAGTGCTACTTTTAGTCCTTTTTCCCTTCAATTTATGTATATTTTCCCTTGGATAAGGTGATAGAAGGTCAATATGAACATGGAATTACATTGATATGGAAAAAAGAAGGAACTTGAAGCTAGCATTTTTATTGCATTTTTTGATCAATAAGATCAAAGAGCTTTGCCAATGTAAAAGCTGAAAGAATACTTGTGACTTGTTGCAGAAAAGAAGGCCCTTTATATGCCTTTCTCCTCACATGTGCTTCCTTTGTAGGGGTAATGGCGAGACATTATCTCATTTACTTTTCTCCTGCCCTTTTGTGTGCTTAGAATTTGGGAGTCTTTTTGTTCTTGTTTTGGTTACAGGTGGATCCCACCCCAAGATGTGGAGGGTCTCTTCAACCCTAACTTCTTGAGGCAACCAAAGAAAAGGAGGAAAGTGCTTTGGAGAATCACTAAGGCATCAATTTGCTAGGTGGTGTGGGAAGAGAGGAATAAAGGAATTTTCTTGGAAAAAAGCTGGAATTTGGAAGAGGTGATAGATAGTATAAAAATAAAGGTTGCATTCTGGGTAAAGACTGGATATTTTCAAAACATTCTCAATAATTGATTTTTTTTCAGGGCATGGACCAAAATAGCACAGTCATCAAGAGTGAAGGACAAAATCAGGATGGATTGGAAACCCCTAGAAGGCAATGAAGTAAAATTGAACTTTGATGGGAGTTCTCTTGGTAACTCGGGTGTGGCTGGAATAGGAGGGGATATTAGAAACTCAGAGAGGAGGATATTGGATATCTTCTCAAGACCAATTAGCTTTGGAAATTCTTTGAAGGCTGATCTGTTGGCTTTATTGCAAGGCCTCAGATTAACTAAGCAGTTGGGATTTAGAATGGTTGAGGTGGAAGGAGACTCACAAGTAGTCATATCCTGGGCTAAATCCAATAGGCGTATTCCTTGTTCCCTTTAATATGTACTAAGGGAAGTGGAAACGATTGCAAAAGAAATAGTGGTTGGATTTAAATGGGTTAGAAGGTATGCAAATGGTTTAGCTGACTCCCTTGCTAAATAAGGGGCTACGAGGCAACATCTGTTTCGGACATCCATGTAATTTGGAATAGTAAAGTGGGATTGACACTGATTAAAAAATTGTACTAATCATTTCTTCATTCCAAAGTTTAATAAGTCACTTTTCTACTGATTAAAAAAAAGCAAAAACTGAAAGAAAGTACATAACTCTAGCTGCTAAGGCAAGGAGGTGCCAGAAACCAACCTTTCTTATAACGGTAAGATAATTCATAAAAAATGTCTAAAAAAATATCAACCATTCCAAATTGTCCATAAAACTACATTATTATGGCAATGAAATACCCCAATACAATTTTGCATTCCCTAACCCTCTTCTATCTGTACTGTCTACTTAGAGAATTTTCTGATCTCTGAACCTATCTGAATGAAACGTCCTCTCCAGATGTCAAAGCTGAAGGCTCTGTAACATAAGCTTTGCATTTTTTTAATCCCCCTAACCCTCTTCTAGCTACACTGTATCCTCTCTAGATCCCCCTGCCACTTCATGGTGAGGTTGAATGACATCCTATTGCTGATAAAAGTTTCTCATATGGTTGCTGGAAATTATATGGTTCACTCTTGAATTCCATTTGATGTACTAGATGTGCCAATATCAGTAAATAGCATGGCTGATTCATTAGCAAGGTATGTAGTGGCAAGAAAAAGCTTATGTTGGGGTGAACCAGGGCCGTGGAAAACTACATAAAAATTTAAAAAATTGAGGTCTAGATTAGAATTACATATCAGCTTGGGCTATTATTTGTGATCTTCAGTGTGGACCACCTGTATGGCTGGGTTTCTCTGCTATCAATAAAATTATTGAAGTTCTGTAACTTCTGTTACTTAAAAACATTTTTCACTATATGAATTGAAAATTAGTGTTAACATTAGATGATTACCTATCAGTGGTTTCTGGCAAAGATTTTAATTGGCTACTAGCCTACTAGGTTCAAGGTTTTCACTTTAGATGTTATATTTGCTACTAGAGTTGATGCGGATCCATTGACAGGGTGATTCAAGATATAATTCATGTTTGGTGCTGGGGTAATCCCAATAGAAGAAGAAAAGAGTTCTATGTAATAGATCTGAAAAATAAGAAGACAAAGGCTAAAGATGCTGAATCATGTCTTTTGTCCATCTCTTCAATTACTACTGCCATAATAGACCTGGAATTTTACTATTGTGCTTGGACTCGATCAAATTGTTGACTTGAGCAGTAACTTAGGTTATTAGTGTTACTATTTGTATGGCTAAGAAATAAAGTGGATTTCAGTCTACTATTTGAGCCAGATGATTCATTTTAGATCTCTTAAATTTTAACAGGGCTTTCATCAACCAACCTTGCAACATTTGGAGTTGGTGTAATTCAGGTATTGTATTAAATTACCATATTTCAAATAATTTTAAAAAACCCGCTACACAATGCTGGTCCTTGCTATATTGAGTATTGGGAGGAGTTGACTGGATATGGACCTAACGTGCCATAGAGGTTGCTCTCATACTCAAACCAATGTTCTCACATTTGTCAGCCTAAGGTTTTACCATTGCACCAAGCAATGCCCCTATTTCAAATAATTTCTTCATGCAACTTAAATCCTAAAATACTCGAGCAATTTCTATCATCCATTTTCTGTTTAGGTTATTGCAACTGGAGTTACAACTTCATTGATTGATAAAGCTGGCCGTCGGCTTCTTCTTATAGTGAGTCCTAGCAAAAAAGGACTTGTACATGTTTTTCCCCCCATTAATGTTTTAATTGGATAGAAGAAAATTGAATACTGTGGTAACTTTCTGCAGATTTCTTCATCTGGAATGACTCTTAGCCTCCTCCTTGTTGCAGTGGCATTCTATTTAAAGGTCACTCATATCTTGGGCCCTCCAGAAGTTGATTTGATTTATGGATGCATATTTGCTGCCTATTTCTTTTGAGGGTTCATGATGTAGGAGAAGAGATTTATACTATAAAAAATTCTTCCTGATTTTCTTTTCTGCTGTGGGCAGGGTGTTTTATCTGAAGATTCCCGCTTTTATAGTTTGATGGGCATACTCTCACTGGTTGGCCTTGTGGTATGGCTTTCTTTTCAGAATGGTATCGTTAAGAGTTCATATTTGGCATGTTTATTTAGTGATTTTCAGTTCATTCAACTTTTTCTTTTCTTCAGGCAATGGTGATTTCCTTTTCTCTCGGAATTGGAGCTATTCCATGGGTTATCATGTCTGAGGTATGCATGTCTCATTGACCTTGTTTTCCATGCTAAGGAGAATAACCCTTTGCAAATTAATGGGACATATGACCTTTTCCTGTGAGTTATTCTAATAAGGTTTAACCTTTCATATGGACTATGAAATTGAATACATGTCCTCTTCCTGTTGTGGTACTGATAAGAAAGAATTCTCTGCCTGTAACATTCTGTAATTGCCGGATTCACCATGTAGCTAGGGCACCATTGAGCTAGCATTTAATATCTATAAATATTATCAGCAGTGACTATGATACTTCAACTACTCTTCACGTCCCATATGGCCATATGGCCATATCAATAGGGAATTTTCAGATGGTTGCCTCCTATTATTTGGGCTTCTGCACTGCTGCACTTGGGCCACTGAACACTTGTCTTAGAGCAAAGTCATAGTTACAAAATTTCATGCTGTATTCCACAGTCCTAACCCATGAGAAAGTGGGTTTGAGTCTGAGGGTGGCCAGCTGGCCACTTTGTGTGGGAAAAAATGCCAAAGATTAGGACAGAAGCTGGGATGAACGTTGGGTAATGACCTTTTTATTGCATGGATTTTAGATGTGTTGTCCACCTTCTAATAATCACCTTGCTGCATTCAGGTTCGAAAATAAGAAAAAAGGTAAAGAGAAAAGAGGAGGAAGAGGGAGGAGAAGCAGTAGAACACAAGAGTTGAAAAGGAGGAGTAGAAGCTTAATCATCAGGTTCGAAAATAAGAAAAAAGGTAAAGAGAAAAGAGGAGGAAGAGGGAGGAGAAGCAGTAGAACACAAGAGTTGAAAAGGAGGAGCAAAAGCTTATTCATCTGCTGCCGCCACTTTAATTAATATTTATAGGTTATGCTCATTACATGGAAATGACAGATCTGCCCTTAGTCTTTACATAACAAA